CCGAAGTGGCACAAAGTTGTAGAAATTCCAAGTGCATTTCCTGCGCACGCCAGGCTACAGTGCACCACCACCAAACCTTCTGATTGCCACATTGAGAAAATGAAATCGGACGTCTTCCTCAGAAGTGAGCTTTATTGCAGGGTGGACTGGTTGGAATGTGTTGGTTAGTTCATCGCTACTTTCAAAGGAACGAGGCCAAGGGCAGCGTAAACTGAGGCCTGCGATTGTTGACTTCCGATTCCAGTATACCTGAAGACATCAGCAAGGAACGGTTCAAGTGGTGAGCCCATCGCTACCACATCACACTAACGGTATATTTCGGCGTTGAATGTGTAGCTGGGCAGCAGTTCTTTTAATGCCAGGGATGTCCAAAGTCCGACCCGTGATAACATTTCAAGTGGCCCGCGGCATCATCAAGAAATAATAAATTCAGGCTTGCGCTTTTCTCCGAACAGAAGGTATTATATAGATTGCAAAAAATTAAGGGTTACGAGTACAAAATTCAACGTCGTCAGATAAAAGCAAAAATCAATGATGCGGTATTGTTTATTTTAAACCAAACAAGAAGTTAATCTAATACTTTTACTAAAAGGTCTTAACTAAAGCAAAAAATACAAAATATCAGAGCTAACTTTCACCATTCACACTGAATACTTGCAATGAAAAATTTACAAAATATGTCACATTTGGTTATTATCTCAATGTCCGACTGAATATGGCCCGACATATTTTTACCTAAGAAAATGTGGCCCTCCTTGTAAAAGGTTTGGACACCCCTGGTTTAGTGTTACAGTAGGTATGTGAACATGAACGCGGTTTTCATCATCATAAGCACAGACGTAATTTACAGTGTTATATATTGGTATGTTGGTGAACAGTGACATTATGTCAATGGAGCAGTTGGTTAGGTTCAAATCACGCATGACATCAACGAACACAAATCACTCACGCTGCGCACAGCGATCAGCTTTAGAATGGGCGCAAGAACCTCAACCAGCAATCGAGTGGTGTGGTGAATTTTTCATATCTAAGACTGAAAGAAGAGGAACACCGGATTTATGCATTTCTGGAGGTCCGTCAAGTCTTGGGACAATCTTGCCTACCAGCCGAAGCTGTTCACAAGCGGCGTCGTTGACATGGCCGCACTTGCGAAGCGTTTCGGACAATTGCAGAGTTGAGTTGCAGCCTACTTTGTTATGTCTCACTAGCCTGTGGCCTGCAAAAAGATGGTTATAGCAAGCAGTACTTCATCCAATTTCTTCTAGTCAACCCGCACTGTTCATAGTAACAATGCCTGCGTTATCATTTGGCAGAGTAAATAAAGCCTCATCAGTGCTAGCCAGACGGCTTGGAGCCTCAAGGTGTTCTTGTTTCAAGAGTGCATATCCGTCGTGTACTTGTGGCAAGCGTGCACTAGAAACGGCTCAAATTCATCCACGTGCAGATCAGGACAAGGGATCAGTTGTAAGGTCTGTGTGTACAAGTTTACGAACTGGGTCGTTAGTCTGTTAGGTCTACTAGTAGAAAGACAATTTAGGGCCCAACGACAAAATCTCCACATAACACGATCAAGCATCAAACGCGACAAACTGTGAACATACTATGCTGGCTCGGCTTGGAAAACTGATTTGGTAGTATATACGCTGCCGTCTTGCAGTTGTCAAAAAGCAATGATGTCCACACGATTCGGACCGGGTAAGGACTGCATGGTATGACTCTATAAGTAAGCATATCACGACGGATTCTACTATGACTGACGAAAAATGAGGCGATGGGGCAAACTTGACTAATTCTACCTGTTATCGAAGGGCATCAAGCAATACATAGTACTCATTAGTAGCAGGATTTTAGTTGTAATTCTTATAAGGCTTTCATCCCAACAGTTTACAAGCTACATGGCAGAGCCTAGTCCTGAAAAGCGCCAGACGCGTTTCGCCCTATTGGGGCTCGTCAGTGGCGCGCATTCCCTCGGTCCTCTAAGGAGGATCGAACGCATGACCGCTAGAGGCAGATGCCAACTAGCCAGCAGCTTAAGCCACTGAGCCATGGGGGACGTTGGCTGGGCTACATAATTTGCAAACTATCTGGGATATAGCACCATCTATCTACCACTACCACTGACGGTGGTTAGTCTGCAAGGTGGTGACGTCCTCTCACTAGACGCTATATCTATAGCATTTAAAACTAGGAGAGGGTTTTGATTTTATAGTACTCATTAGTAGCTATAGATATAGCGTCTAGTGAGAGGACGTCATCACCTTGCAGGCTAACCACCGTCAGTGGTAGTGGTAGATAGGTGGTGCTATATCCCAGATAGTTTGCAAATTATGTAACCCAGCCAACGTCCCCCATGGCTCAGTGGCTTAAGCTGCTGGCTAGTTGGCATCTGCCTCTAACGGTCATGCGTTCAATCCTCCTTAGAGGACCGAGGGAATGCGCGCCACTGACGAGCCCCAATAGGGCGAAACGCGTCCGGCGCTTTTCCGGACTAGGCTGTGCTATGTAGCTTGTGAACTGTGGGGATGAAAGCCTTATCACAATACATAGTAGACAATGTATGGATCTTAGGTTTTTTAGCGCAGAACACGTAAAAAGATCATATACTCGGCGGAAACATCCTCGCTGGTAAATGTGTCGAGCAAATCGGTGCGGTTGACTGCGTAATTCCCCGAAATGGTCCGACAGCTTGTTAAGGCGTTCTACAAAGCTTCTGAGATAGCTCGGTGATTGGGTAATGCAGTTGGCAAAAGCTGGTTGACAGAAGCGGGTTTCACATCTTGTTTCAACTTAACGCGGCGTACATGAGAAATACACTCCATGGACTGTTGAAGAAGCGGAAAATGTTCATACTGAGGAGCCACCTTGACAGTGAAGACAACTGGACCATTGAAAGATGATGCTGAGTTAAGTCATTGTGACGCTTCTTTCAAGCTGGGTATACCTGAAACCTACCAGAACAGGTAGGACATGAAGGCTTCAAAGTTTGCATTGCAGAACCCGAGTGGAACACAGAGTAAAGTAGTCTCGTGAGAGACACTACCGTAGCCTAAAGGATCACAAGCCTGCATTGTAAGTTGGAGGTCGTAGGTTCGAGCCTGCGAAGGGGCAGGGCGACCCTCACAGTATCCTATGCCCACGTATGACCGGTGGTGGTTGCGCAGCAGCGTAGCATCGGTACTCCGTACCGGGGTACAGCTGATGCCTTGTTTTCATTCGTTCTGTGTTCTGGATAACAAGCACCATGTAATCAATAACAACAAGAAACAAAACAATGCAAGGTAGCTGAAAGTAAGAAATGCACTACAGCTAATATGTTGCAATACAAAAAAATACATGAAGTAAAACCAGACACTTCAGAACATAATATAAAAACAAAAACGTAATTTGATGCTTAGCGTCATATCAAGCATCACGTGTGAGAACGTGGTTGGAGGGAAGATAAGTGAGAGGATGAGAGACAAAGACGCTCACAACACAAACGCCATTGGGGCCGGCTCTACGCTATGTCAACTAGTGTATCCGGCCAAATGTATCAATTGTCCTTCGGATCGCCGATCTTTTGTCGAAAGACATCAACCGACGGCAAGTTCGAAGTGACGAACTTCATCCCTCTTGACCAAGTCATTGCTTGGTCTCCCCTCATCTTGTTCGATCACCCCCCCACCGTCGCGCAAACAACACACGTCGCGGGAGTAGGTGTGCTGTCATACGCAAAAGGTGACCCAGCCTTCGGACCCTGTTGCCTGAAATAACGGTGCTGAGTGGTTCACTCGCTCTTGCTGCACCAAACACACGACGTCGAACGCGTTTATTGCTAAAGCAATATTCCCATCAGACATGAGCTAAACTGCGAAGCCAGCGACCGTCCAACGCTACTAACCTTGCATCTGTTGATCTGATGGGTTAGGTTTCGCACTAGTACGGGAGGGTTGAACGGATGGCTGCATTGTAAACTCTACCTTTCAGGACGAGAATGATGTCGCGCCGACGCCACAAGTGGCGGAGATTGGTAATAGCCTTTGTTACACGGTTCGAGATCTCATCTTTGATCCCACGGGCGCTAATATGGTTGCCAAAATAGTTGAATTTCTGGACGACTTCTAGTTGATCATCGTCAAGGATCACAGTAGGGGTGGGTGTCTGCCAGTCTTGGAGGACATTGCATTTCAAGGATGCAAAGCATAGACCGAAACGATTAACAGCCTACCACCATGTAGCCAACAAACGTTAAAGTCTGCAACCTACATACGATATGTACAAATCATCCGATTGCCACCGCGCCTTACCCCGGAGTAAACAGCGTGGTAGCTCCAAGTTGATTCCATAAGGTGGAGGTGGATGTAGTGGAAATAGGCGAGTTTGTTTCTATGTCTTCGCTTACGCAAAGCAAAGAAATAACTGACATTCGTCAGCATCACTTAGACAAGCGCCCAGTAGCAAGCTGTAGTGCTATATCCCATGTATCAAATAAATTGATGTCAGTGGTGTAGCGATCAGAGGCGAACATCATTGGGGCCGTGAAGGCGCACAACAGTGCCTTGTAATGCGAGGCGACAAAGTCAGTCACTGATATGATGGTTAACAAAGGTTATGCGCCTGTTATCGACTTACAGTATTGTTACAATGAAGACAAAATCGTGTGATTATAAAGCCAGAGATATCTCAGTGCTTCATAGAAGAGTGGAAAGCAATACCACAGAAGTTTCAAGTTCCAGCTTGCAAATATGCAATTCAGGCATGTTTTGGTTACTTCAACACAAGAAAGCAGGAGGATGCAGAGGGCCAACACCTTCAACACTTGTCTGATTGTAGCTGGAAAATGCAAACTACTGAGCCACCATTAGACTTATTTTGTGGCCATTTGTATGAGTAAAAGCCATGCGGATAATCAGTAAAGACACCTTCATCGAGCCACCTGAACGATACACGTGTTTCAGAACACACAAAAACAATTCACCATGAAAGTGATGAAGAAAGTGCAAAAGATGCGCATAACTTACCATGTAATCGCCGATAATATTTTCAATCAGGAAATCATGGTAGAGTGAATCCTTAGGCGTTGGTTTCCGATCGACTGGACAAACCGGATTGGTGCTAATCCACGGGAGGATACACTGCAATAAGACCAAACCGGACTGTGAACACCGGAGAACGCGGTGCGCAAACGCCAATACATGAGAAACATCTACAAGGACTGCATAGAGAAACCAAAGCTTTCTTTTTCAGCAATGATGAGCACCAGACTATGTGGCAGATGGGAAACCAGTTCACACGACCCTGTCGGAACAACCATTCAACATCATCATGTAAGGCCGAAAGCGATTTGTAAATCAAAGGATAGATTGTTTTTCATAAAAGCTTACTGTTAGGGTTACAGCTGACCTAACCCGAGTAAAATCCAGGGTCTGGAAAGCGGAAGTCATATGGCGATAGGGAACCGTGTTCGAACTTGTTCATGTCAGAAAAAGTGAGCTAACATCTTGTTCCGCTTTGAGTGTGCAACTAGCTACGTGAGTATGCAGAGTTGACATGTTTTACCAAAAGCTATGAAACTTGTGTCTGTTTTGTATAACAAAACACTGTTCCTGTCGTCTGACTCACAAAACACGCGGCACTTGTGAAAAAGGCCTCCTATGAAATACCACAAGTTGCAACTGTCAGATATAGTAGTTTTGTGCTATTATCAGTTGCCTTCTTATCCGAATACTTCGTCCGGTTTTCTGTTTACCTCACCAATACACAACACTGTGACCAATAGCACGCGCTTTGACAACACATCACACTTAGGAGTAGTCTGTAGGAACTCATCTTACTTGGACCACGTCTAACGACCATAACACTTACCGTATCATAGAACTAGTACATAGCGTTTTCAGAGCAACTATTCGGCAATAGTTAGTGCCACAAATACGCATGATCGGTCGAGCTGAGGACAGTATTCGGTTAAGGGAAATTATATCCGATATACGATATACCATGCATACGTTTTGGTATGTTTCAACACGTAACGGACTGATATATAATCAGGACATTTTCAATCGGCGAGCAAGTCTGCCTGCATTCACCCACTATTGAGATAGTCGACTTGCCATAGTATGAGACTTATGAACGGCGGTGGGCATTAATACGCATCTAGCGGCAAGATGAGAATGACTTGCTTACTGTAGTCGTAGGGAATTAACGATGGTGGCACCTAACCCCTGTTCATTGACTTAAAAGCTACCTTTGATTCTGTCATAATTTTCACTGGTTGTGAAGTTGCCTGTCTTTGAAAGGCGTACCCGAAAATGCCTCCTGTGTAAATGTATACGGAAGACTCACGGGGTAGTTGCTCGCGTTCTGTGTTGAAGCGAAGATCCATGTTACGCTAAGGATAATGCACTAAGTAAGGAGCAGCAATTAGCAGGCATAAACCGGTCCTCAGATGCATTCGCAACCATGCCCTCTTAGGGCTAACCAAACTTTAGAAGTGCCAGTTGGTGATAACCCCGTCGATAAGGTGCAAGCCGTTTACAAAGTACTGGGGCCTAGCTCATAGCACCCACAAAATGCGAACTTACTGATCTACAGAAGGTGTGACCACAGGGGGCTCTTTGCGGATTGACAAATACCTCTTGACAAATAGGGCAGGACAGATGTGGACTAACTGCTGAAGGATTGACAAAGGTTCTACACAAGTCAATATATGAATTAAGAAGATAAGGACGACCTCTCTTCAGTGGATTCAATTATCTCGGATTTCCTGACAGTACTCTTTCTTCTTGCAGGCATGGATCTAAAACTAGAACAAAAGAGGCCGTAGTTAAATTTCTGCGCATGTGAACCTAAAGTATCGATTGGACAAACATATACATTAGCAACAGTCGATAATAATAGACATTGCGTCATCGAGAAACCATGAAATCAATGCGTATAATAAGTAGAAAGAGGAAAAAAGGATAGTACACAATGAGATAGTTCTGTGTTCCTCACAAGCCGTTCTGTCAATTTTTGTCAGTTTAGTGAGTGCGGCTTTGATAGGTAGAATCAATGTAAAGACTCATGCAAGCTTTCCACTGTGCGATTATGTGCCATGTCCTCAAAAGTCTCCAACCAGCTAAGTTCTTCATCTCTGACTCTCCAGCCCGGAAGAGGTACGGCGTCGACAACAGCTAGACTGGAAGTCAGCG